GTATCTTCAAAGGGTTTCACTTTCTCACTTTCAGCAGGGAGGAAAGGCTTTGGGCCTTCTCTTTGTGTACACGTGATGATAAAAATATTTACTGTTTCGGTAGTGCTGGGGTTTTAACTTTCACTGCTAAGCTGCATGTCTGATGTATATTGCACTAGGTTGATCTGTAATAGGCTCTTGACAGTGAGTTGAGCTGTAACTGTGAATCACATATGCCCTAGGACAGACACCTTACAACTGACCCTCCTGGTTTTTGCCTGCTGACGTAACTGGGCTGAGAGCAGCAGCTCATATGCCAGGACTGTGCTGCTTGATTTCTCTGGGCTCCAGCTTCCACCGCCTCTGGGAGCCTGTTAGGAAAGAAGAGGTTTCTGGCCCATCTTGCACTTTGTTGTCTTCACAAACAGCAAGTGAAATACCTCAGATTGGGGTAGGCATGACTCTAACATGCTCGCTGTTTTTATACCGACATAGAGCTCCACTAAGCTGGAAGGAGTCACTCCAAAGTAAGCAGGAGCAGAATCAAGCCTTGCAATCACATCACTTCCTTCCACCCCCAGAAATACTCACTGACCTCCTCTTTTCCCCTCCCATCAAGCGGTAGCAATGTGAAATTCAGGAAAACAGCGGCAGCAGGAGCTGCAGCAGCAGCTGCTCCTCCAAGCTGAGTCCCGATGAGGCCGGGAGCACATTCTTTCCTATGTTGTGGTTTGCTGACTTTTCTCTTTGTCTCGTGTGTAATGGGAACAGAGCTCATGGAGCGGGGAGCGTGCTCACAACAAATGGCTCCTGTGGGTTTTTTCACTTTGCTTGCACCTTATTCTGATCCCAGTTGTATAGGTATGAACCTGGGGAAATTCTGCTATTTCTCTGGACTCGCTCCAGGTTCACTCCAGCAGAACAGGCAGCAGAAACAGGCCTTGAAATAGTTTCTGCAATGCTCTGGCTGCCCACAGCAGCTGTTTATTGCTTTGCATTTTCCTTCGCTGTCAGAGTTATGTAATGTCCAAGGGCTGAAGCGTCACCATCCCGTTTGGCTCTGAAAGGCACACGAACTGCTTGTAAGCTGTGGGTACTATCCACAAAGGTTTTTGGCTTGTGGGCCTTGGGCCATTTTGATTGATGTGAGGCATTGAACCAGGTGGACGATGACTGAGAGCAGGAAATCTCTAAGGTACGAGTCAACAAGATAGGTCTGGCTGTAACATAGTCTTTCTTTGCAGACAGCCACAGGGCTGGCTTGGTGGATCTGTTGATACAAACCTCCACAGCAGGATACATAGGGTTCCTTGGCTGCACCACTTCCCCATGGCTTCTCCTAGTTACTGGTGAGGGTGGGCGAGTGTGTGTCAGGTGCCCAGTGCTTTTTCTGCACAGCACTGATCTTTTCCATGCTTCATTTATTCTTTCCTCATTATTCAGAAGTCTTCACAGTTCCTCTTAAATCTTACAGGAGTGTATCATTTGGTGGCCAAACAGGCTACACAAGGTATCTCTTTGTGGTTATTTACTGGTGGCACTTTGGGACAACATGCCAACTCTGTCCAAGGCTCCTATTAGCACAGGTATGCTGATTAACAGGAGTTTGTTCATAGTTACGGTGAGGTTCTAAGAGAAACAACAAAAGCACCGAAACTGCTGTAAAAATCATGCTGTGTGAATGTCCAAGAATAACCTGTAGCATAGAGCATCACTGAAAGACCCAGTGCTTTCTCTGGGCTTGGTAACTGTGGAGTTAAAAATGAGTATAGTTTTCAAGCATTGGCCGTGGTCAGAAAGAAGCTTAGAGTATGCTTGGAGCCTCCCACTTGCCATGGGAAACCAAGGCAAAAACCTCCTAGTCTGATCAAGCTGTGAAGGGCAGCAAGTTAGTTTATGCTGCCAGCAGAAGTGATTCTGTGGTGTGAAAGATCCCAAAAGCAGTGAAATGCCTCGGTATTTCTAATAGTGTTGGGCAATTTCTGTTCGTCAGTGTTGGGAGTAATATTTGACAGCATTTGGCAGCTTAGTATATTGTTTAGCAAGCATTTTAATGTTGTAATTTTTTGTTTAATTTGCCATTAACACCGCCATTGCTGGTGGTATGGGGACAGGTCTCTGGGACAAACAAAGGAAACTATCAGTACAAACCCCAGAAGCCTCCAAAACATATATATATGAAACAGCAAATAAAAATACTTTACAAACAGGGATATTTAGAGGCCAGCTTGGGTAGGAGGGAGGGGAAATCAGGTTCTTCTATAAGCCAGGCCACCCCCACTGGTGTTCGTGAGGGTTTTGACATGACTGGCATTGGTGGCATTTGAGCATCATTTGCAGTGGGAAGTGACACACCGGGGCTTGGAGGCTTGTGGTGGGAAAGTGATTAAGTGCTGACCACTTCACTGGTACTCTTTATATGGGATTTTGAAACAGTAATGTTTTCTGGCTAGTACTTCTATCTGGCTTTGACACTTCCCATTTGATAGGTTGGGACGCTTTGACACTTCCCAGCTGATAAGCAACATGTGGGTGCAGAATTTCTCCTAGGGGAGGAGGAGACCCACTGCCATGCTGAAGTACCCCTGCTCAACAGGGTCGTAGCTCGGTCATGCAGAGTTGGGCACTCTGAGAGCACAGTATGCTTCCTGTGAAGACTAGCCTGTGACAGAGACCTCCCTAGCTTTTCAGAGGTGGGCATCTACAGATTTATTACAACTAATTCTTAGTCTCACTGGCTGTACCCTTTCCAAGAAGGGGTGTTTCATTATAGTCAGAGTACATGAAAGTGCATAGTATTAGGGTTATCGTGCATTTTCACTTTAAAAGTCTTCATGTTTTTTCCACCATCAGTGGCTTATGATTTTCTTGAATTTTCAGTGTCCAGGCTGTTTTACCAAGCTGGTTTTTGCATGAGGGGTAGATTAAAAAAAGGGGGGGGGAGGATGTAATTCTGGCAGTCCTAAGAAGGTACTGGACATTATGATTTGTTGCTGTTATAGAGAAAATTCATTGCTACTTTCTTTTTTGGATTGCATCAGTGCCTCTGCAGCTGGCAGTAGAAATTTGATACCTCATCCAAAATAGGTCCGTCTTTTCCAAGTAAGAACTGTGGCTATTCTATGTAGGGAAGTGACTCCGTTGGAAATCGCAGGAATTGGATTTAAGTGGAATGGCAAGCTCAGAATGAAACTGAAAGAGTCAACTACAGGGGGTTGAAGAATTAAAAATAAATAAATTGGGAGCTGTAAATGCATCTTGCATAGATTCAAGGAAAATCTCTTTGAGTTCATCATGTTTAGAGACTTAGCCTGGGACTTTCAGAATAATCCTGGAGAATTATAGGTGTTGAACTGCCTCAGATCCCTTTTGGAAAAGCAGTCTTAAAAGTACATACCTCACATCAGTACGGATTAGTTTTTAATGATGAGAAAAGGGCTCATTTGCTAATAGTGCCAGCACCTTACATTGGTGCTGTTCACAAATATATAAACATGTCACTGCGTAGCGCAAATAAATCAGAGACTGCAGAGGATCCAGACCCTTGGGTTGAGCAGTCCCCAGTGCTTTGTTGCCTTCCCTCAGTGCCTGGAAATTTCTTCATTCTTTGATACCCAGTTTGTTCTGTGAATGAATCACCAGTTCTCCAGAAGAGCAGTGTGAAAGCACAGGATTACATGAGCAACCATATTCTAGTTTATGTACTTCAGGGGTCTCCTTTTTGTCCTTGTCCCTTTATCTTTGCTCTTCTCCTCCACTCCACCAGCACTGTTGCAGAGCAGGCAGTACCATATTATATTGCACACATGGGCTTCTGTAAGCTGATCTGTACCTGACATACAGGGGCAGGAGTGACTGGCATAGGGTCGCTTGGAAAGCCCATAGTAGAGCTGAGAATTGTAATACGGGATCATTTTCTCACCTTTTTTATACATTTACACAGAAAAAATGTCTTAACAGCAGTAGAAGAAACCTACTGCTTTACAGTAGTTAAATTTCAGAATTTTTTTAGTTCTGCGTCTAAGCCTCTGTGATCCTTCTGTATGTGCTGCTTTTTATTTTTCTTTCTGTCTAAGACACCTGATACATGAGTTTGCCTAGCAAGGAAAGCAAACAAGCCATTCTTTCTTAAACACCACAGTCCTAGGGAGGGCTTTTAAAAGCATTGACTTCTCATGATTCTTAGTCTTTTTAATGGCTTGAAAGGGTATGGCATAGATGCACATGGTAGAAATCACTGTCATTTACTGTAGAGTTGCTATGTGCAAGGCTCTGTTTGAGGTCTGAGTCCCACTGGACTGTGGGGGTCCCTGAGAATGTAAGACTAAGCAGAAAAAAGCCAGGGAGTGCCAGTAATGCAGTTTTATATATTAGGAATGGCAGCATGAACGTGTAAATTCGTGCATGTAACTAAGTTGCCCAAGTTTTCACAAGAAATCTGTAACGGAGCCAGGGATTGACTGTCCAGAATGCTAGTCCAGCGAATTAGCTACGAGTACTGCCTTTCCCTTCTGAATTACTTCAAAAGCTTTCTCTTTTGAAACAAACAGTAATTCATGCAAACATTCTCCCACGCATTCTAGGAGAATAGAATATCAGTCAAGAATTTCTGTGTGGCTGCAAGGGCAGAGCTGTGCTCTAGGAAAGTAAATAATCTGCTAGCAGATGATTTAGTGAAGTCAAGTAAAATTAAACTAGAAGAAAATATTTATATTTTTATGTTATAAAAGGAATAAAAACAGATAGAAGTTACTGATCTTGTTTCAAAATTGTATGGTAAACCATTTCAGACCTATTTCTACTTCCCTTTGAGTCAGTGGGTTTTGTCATGATGGTTCCTGTTACAGCTTCCAGCACAACTGCTGTAGAAGCCTCAACAGAATTAGCTGCCTAGACTGTAGACCTCTATGTAATTTGTGTCCCTAACCACCTTCGGAGAAGCCCAAGCTTAAAATTCAGAATGGAACAAGGAATTTCACTGTGAAATAAGATTAGTGTAATCAATTATGTTTTGTATGCAGGTCTGGAAGTGTCAGAAATCATTGGACTGAGATTTACTCTTTTGTGGAAAGCCTAGCTGAGAAGTTCATAAGGTAAAGTTTTCTTAAGATGATATTTTAATTTGCTATATATATAATTTATTTCTTCCTTCACTGCTTCTTAGCAAATGAAAATCTGAAGTAATGTGTGTGTGTGACGTGGATCTGGCTTGTTCTTCTGTTTCAGTCCAATGTTGCGGATGTCTTTCATAGTTTTTTCTTCACGAGGCACTACAGTCATGAAACTAACAGAAAACAGGCAAGTACTCCCCACAGCTTTCATCCAGAAATACTCTCCCTCCCTCCTCTCAAGCAGCAAGTGGCCCCAAAACCAGAATTCGGAGGTCTGTCTTGGTCCTTGGTGTGGCACCAACTCAGGGACCAAATGAAATCCTTTCCACCAGTCCCAACTGGAAGAGAGCTTAGAATGCCTTTGGGTCTCCCATTACCATTTTGTTTTCAGCCTTATGAGAGAAAGGCAGCACTGGGCTGTCTGTTTTTATCGCAGCATTTTGGGGAGAAACTGCATTTCCGGTCAAGGATTCATGTACATCCTCACTATCCCCAGCTATCCAAATAAGGGCAGGTTTTGTGTAAGAGATCTCAGACCCTGCGCTGATGAGCAAAAGACTGTACAAAAGTCACACAGTGCCCTTCGAAGTGACCAAAGCCTGGCCAGCAGCCGGTCATACCCAGTGCTGGAGCACTACCTCACCAGGCTGTCGCACCCCTCTCCTGGGCTGCCTTCAGACAGCACCTGTGCCAGAAGTGGTTTGCAAAGCCAAGCAACAGGCTTCTTAAGAAGAGAGTCTGAGGCTGGAGCAAAATTCTTGTTGCCACCTTCACAACCAAATCCTCTTTTTTAAAAAAAAAAAAAAAACCCCCAACCCCCCCCCCCCCCCCCCCCCCCCCCCCCAAAAAACCAGAACAAAAACCCCAAATAATTTTGGATTTAATTTGTCTCATGCACAGAAATCACTGTCATGGAGGTGTTTCTAAGTATTTTCTTTCATTTCAGCTTGAAGCCCTTGCTTTTGCTACTGCTTCTGTCTGTGTGAGAGGGCCTCAGTACTACGGTGCACCCTATAAATAAAGGGAGCTCTGGAGCAGTCTTGAAAGAACAACCCCCTCTCCATTTTGTACTCCAGGGCCTCATCCAAAGCCAGAAACCCCGCAGGGGTCTTGTATTTCTGTTGGCTCCACTGAGTTTTGGCTCAGGTCTCCATCTTGTACCTTGGTGACAGAGCTCAAACTTGCTTACTTCTCCCAGGCAGATTTGCTCTTTGCAAAGTGGAAAGTAGACAGGAACCCTGTGGCAATATGTTGAACATGGTATTAGAATGTTCCCTCTCCAAAACTCCTGTTCTCTGCATGGATCACCATGTGTGTATTTTCAGCTCATTTTATATCTTGAAAGGGTAAAAATGTGCTTTTTTTGCCCGAAGGACATCCCCAGTCCCAGCTCCTGATTTTTACCTTCATCCCACATAGACTTCTGTTTCCTCTGTAATTGGGGCTGTGCCACCTAAAATGCCCAGTTGCAAAATGGAGATTAGAGAGGTTCTCACTATCCTTTTAAAAAAAGGATGCCCCATAGCATCTGGGGCTGATGTTTGGACTGCCTACATCTTGCCTGTTGAATATTTGTGCCTTATTTGCCTTATTTTGAAAATTGCCTTATTATGAAAACTTCGCCAAGGATTAGGGTCTTTTAGTGATCAGTGATCAATTAAATGATTAATTTGCCTGAGCGATCCTCTTGGTTAACAAGTATTTGTGGAGTAAGAAGCTATGCAACAGGGGTCATGGAATCAAAGTCCCTTTCTTACCAGGGAGCAATCTGTGCCCCAGGAAGGTTGGTCAGTTCCTGGTGTAGGATAGGAAATTCTCACCATTCCCATCCTGTTCTCTTGTCTTTTGGCCTCTGTCTTTATAATGGAAAAGTCCTAATCTCAACTGTCCTGATGATTGATTGAATATGGAGTTTTTATTTGTCCTGTTTTCATGACAGGGTCATAAGCTTTTAAATTCTCATTCTGTCTGCAGTTTGTCAGACTTTAATATCTGGCATTTGCTTTAATTCAATCTTATGCTGACTGACAGTATACCAGAATGAGGGAGCAGGGACAGAACTGCACCCTTAAAATGTGTTAACCCTAACATTGTATCCTATGTCCAGTTTTGTGCTCCCATGGGTGTTTGGCTGAAAACTGTGGGTTTTGAAAAATCTTGGTTTTACCGGTGTTTTAGCTGATGTGTATGCACTCTGTTTAATGTATTGACAGGGTGGATAATCTAGCTGTGGCACAGGAATATCTCAAAAAAAGAAAAAAAACCTTTTTTTTATATTTCCCCCCCCCCCCCTTTTTTTTTGTTTTTTTTTTAATCCAAAGGGAAGCCATAAGACGAGGGCTCGACATTCTTCAGTATGAAGTGCCTGGAGGAGACACGTTCATGCATGAAGGATTTAAAAGGGTACACGTCACAGTACCTCTTTTCTTTGATTTATATATATAAACTTTGCTTTGCTTGCTGCGAGTGTACTCAAGAGCTAACTAACAATGTTCTACACTTTGTTGCAGGCAAATGAGCAGATTTACCACGAAACCTACGGAGGTATGTGTTATATATCACTCATGTTATAGATCTGCATCGAAAAGGCAGGGATGATAGTTCTTTATGTGACCTGCAGTAAACCCGCCAAAAGAAGAGTTGGAGAAGGAATTGGTGTTACACAATCATTACATTCTGTTTTGACTACAGCCCTACTTTTAAATGCGTGATTCATGGTTTATTAAGACCAGAGGAGACCAGTATGATCACAGATATGACCCAGTGCAGAATACAAACCAAAGCATTACAGCCAGAACTGCCAGTCCTGCACCCAGGGGACAGGAACACCCAGATTTTCCTGTGCCCTTCTGTCCTGACGCACTCAGCTCTGTCTGCCTTGTGTGCCCAAGTCCTTGTTCTCATTCGCATAGGTATGAATGCAAGCAGCTGAGATTTTTGCATCAGTGTGAATGATTTGGGATCAGATTCCGATTCCGAAAATGTAAATTTTCACTAAATTTCGAGAGGGAAATGTATTTGTGGTTTTTTTGTCTGTGCCAAAAGAAGGCCTAATTAGTTAAACTGAACACTTCTTGCCTGGTTTGTACCCTGGTGTGAGGTTGTTCTCGTTTGTGGGCTGATGGTCTCTTTGGAAGACGGAGAAATGGGTCAGTGCCTTTTTAATGAAATAGGCTGTGAGAGTAGAGTCTTCAGCAGCAACTCTGCATGGCTTCTCAGGCACTTCTGCCAGTGAAATCAAGAGTCCTGAGGAGTCCAACTGAAAACTATTTTACCTCTTCATAACATGTAACTAAGAACTAATCAACTATTCCGTAAGTTGATTAGGAAGGAAAAAGTAGTAGATGAAATCTGGATTTATAAGCTAAAATATTGGGGAAGAAATAAGTGTTCAAAAGACAACAAAATAAGATCTCCAATTTTTCAGCCTTTTGCAAGCATGCTGGGCAGAAAAAAGAAATGAGGAATACAGGAATCCAAGCTATTTCCCCCCCCCAGGTTGCAGGTCATTTTTTTAAGATTTATGTCTGTGTCTGACATGACATGGGAAGGACCGCATGGCATAAGAAACATGTCAGAACTAATCAGTCTTTGATTTCAGACAGTATGGGGAAAGACACTTGAAATTGTAACATTATTTTGAAAAATAACAAATACTTCCCTGAAAGTAACATGTATGTGTATTAGTTACTTTGCTTAATAACTATTGAAACAGAATGGTTTATTGAACCATAGGATGCATATCAATTTGGTTTAATTTTGTTAACATGTTGTATTTTTCTAGGTAGTATTGTATTCTATACTGGATTACATATATAGCTATCCTAAGTCTATGCAACCTTTTCACTTAAGCTTAGGTGGGATATGAAATGTCTTATCACAAGGCATGAATTTTCTGCAATGGACCCAATTTTAAGGTTTTCACATGCTTAGTATTCCTATGAACTTCACTGACAGCTCTTCTTGCTCAAGAAGTGTAGGACTGAAACCCTCTATAGAAGCACATTTCCTGCCATGTTCTGTGGGGTTGTTCCTTGAAAGTCTGCTGGAGGGGAAGGTAGGATGGCAGGAAAGTTCCTTTTGCAGAGGTATCTCCTGCCATAATCTCTGGGCAAGGTTTGTATAGAGACATGTTGGTCAAGAGAAGAGAGACAACCTCTCCTTCTCCACAGATGCATTTTACCACTTCTCCACACAAAGGGTCTAGATGTAATCTTGGTAAGTGCTATATTTTACTCGGAACAGAGAAATTTGCGCGGGGACCTTGTTAGAGCAGTGTTTCCCCCTTTAGTGATGCTTGTGATATGAAGGTGCACAGGTTTTGGCTTACTGAATGCTGCTGTGCATCTGACCTTCAGCTGGTATATTTCCAGTAAAGTCCATACAAATCAGGCTGAGAGTCTGGCCTTATGCCTTTGCGTTTATTTGGCAGCAAAAAGGAATGCCTCACTTCAAACTTTTTTTTCATTGCTGAATCTTGTCATACGTATGCAATCTGTTAACTATCCTCCATGTAGGAGTTCGGACCGCTAGCGTGATTATTGCTCTGACGGATGGAGAATTGCAAGATGTTCAGTTTTATTATGCAGAACAAGAAGTAAGTCACCTTCACGTTTACCCAGACTAGATTATGTCAAACCTGTAGGCATTTACTGCTGGCTCCACTGATTATATGGCTTTGCACTTAATGGCAATTTTTTTTTTAGGCCAACAGAGCCAGAAGCTTTGGAGCTATTGTTTATTGTGTTGGAGTGAAAGATTTCAATGAAACTCAGGTAACTTTGCTTGCTTTCTTCTTGGTTTGTTTTTCTGTTATAGCAGTGCACAAGTAACAGCATCCGATGAAGGCATTTATTTAATTACTTGAGGCATAAATCGTTTTGTGTCAGTATGATGTCTTTTAGCAAGTATGAAAGGGCCCAGTTTTGTTCACTGTAATTTTGTTTTCCTCATGATTTATGATTGTCTTTCTTTGCAGCTGTCAACAATTGCTGACAGCATCGATCATGTTTTTCCAGTTACAGGAGGCTTTTATGCCCTGAGAGGAACAATTGATTCAGTAAGTTGGGTATTCTGAAACCCAGAAAAGGGCACCCTTTCCTGTATTAATAAAGCATACATAAAAATGTTTGCCAAAAATGCCATTATCTAAATCTTTTAGATTCTCAAGAAATCTTGCATTGAGATCCTAGCGGCTGAACCATCGAGCGTTTGTGCAGGAGGTAAGTTTCCACAAGAGCCATGTGATAAGGCAAATGAATGACAATGATGAAATGTCAGTAACTACCTAACGTGGTATTGGAGCTGAAGCCCGTGGATGTGTTAGAGCATCCCCTCAGGCCGTGGCTAAAGCCCAGTGTGTTCCTTCTCACTCGAGGAAAAAAATTGTGCCGATAAACATGTAGCTGCTGCTGCTGAATGCCAGCTTGGAGAGTTGAGTGAGGTAGCACTCAGGGAATTGAGGATACTGCTTTTTAAAATATCTGAGAGAAGGAGGAGACAGAAGTGATGTAAAGCCAGACTGCCAGAGGTGCTTCCGGGTCTAAAAGTGATGTCTCACAAATTTCTGGAAAGACTGCATTCCTGGGATCTGCTAGGACTTGAGAGCAGTTAGAACAAGATTTTGCAAAACATTCACAGAAATTTCACGTTTATTGAACCAGATATAACTAACTGCATAGGCCAAGGTACCTGACGTGTTTTCCAAAGTACTAATGTTTTACTTATTTGCAATGAAAGAACCGTTAGTGTAGATGGTAAACGTGAAGAATCCCCAGAGGAGCTGTTGATAATTTTATGCCTTTCATGTCTAGCATATTTAACTTGGATTTGTTCTGGTTTACGTTAGCAGTTCACTTGCTGTGTTTTTGTCTACTTAAGAGGCTATTGCAGCAGAGTAAGAGTGACACCATAAGTTTGCTGGAAGGTACAGTTTACAGCATGGTTATTTAGATCTGATGTTTACTGTCTTGTGTTCATTTCCTTACACACTGTAAAAATGAGCACATAAAAATAAAATAGCAATGATGCATGAAAGCTGACCTTGAAAACAGATAAAAATAGGAAACTCGGGAAAAATCTAATAAATATCACAGAGAAGAGAAATTGTTCATTTCATTTCCACATGTCAATCACAATATGATCTTGCCCTGAGTATTTCAATTTAAAATGAAATATCCTTGTATCTTTTGAACTATTCCTAAATATATAATTGTGGACTAGATGTTTGTGATAAAATCTGTGGAAAAATTAAAAAAAAGGAATTATTTTGCTTTTAAAAAGCTCCTTGGAGTTGATAAAAAACAATTTTAAGGCTTTAACGTTTCAAAGCTTTTTTATTTCATAGTGATAAATTCTGGGGTTTTTTGCTTGCTTATTGTATACCAGGCAATTTTTTGTGCAACAGCTTATTGCGAGCGTTCCTGTTCACCAAAAATTGCATTTAGCTACATGAAAATGTAAGTTTTCCAATAGGATGGATATCAGTAGTATTCTTGTGATTGTTTGGAACAATGTTAAGAATAATGGAAAGTTGAATTTTAAACCATTTTTTCAGATGAAAATTTGAAAATATTTTTGTAAAGTATTTGAGAAAATAAATTTTCAAGAAACACTTTGATTTTCAGAAATGTATATATTTCAACAAAAAGTAAAATTTCTCTTTTTCAAAAGGAATCAGTTTGATTCCAGATTCATGAGTTCAAACCACTTCATTTTTTGCCAAGCTTTCTAGGTAACTAGTTTATCACAAATGTGATTAAAAATACACAGGTACACTTAAAAATAGTTTGCCCTCCTTTTAAAAAAAAATGTTACATTACTTTCATCTGTAGAAGTTTTTCAGTGTCTTTGTGGCTTTCAGATCAGACAGAACCTGTTTCTGTGTATTGCTGCTGATTCAGCGAAATACCAGCACTTGTTTCACTTAAATTCTGAGGTTTGTTCTGTCCCTCTTGACAAAGACACCCAGCAAAGGCAGGCACACTATGGTGCTGAATCACCAGGGCATGAAGACTTGGATCTCGCGTGCTTGAAGCTTTGCGTGTAGCAGCAGGAAGCTTGAAAGTAGGAGGAAGCCAAAACTGCAGCTCCGAATGGTGCATACTGTTGCTGTGGGTTAAATGGTCTCCAGCACCAATAATCAGGCCTTTAATAACTTTTGAGTCTAGTCCTGCAAATCTTACCTGAAATGAACCCCTGCAAGAGGTTTGGCAGTGTGAGGCTGCAAATATTTGCACCTGTGCTTGGCTTTATTATCCTTTATTATCCCACTTACTTCAACATAGCCAGAGGTTCATCTTTATAGCTGTGTGCACCACTGTCTCCTGAAAGGAATCTCCTGGGATTGAACAACTTTTTTTCATGGTAGTGTGAATCCAGACCCTGAATCCAGTTCACTGGACAGTCAGATGTAGTTCTCTATATGTAATGTGATTTATTTTTTTTAGTGTACTTTATTTGGACTTTAACGTAAAAAAAATACCGAAGCCTATGAAGTCATCTCAGAATTTTTATGCATTTTAAATGTGGGTAATTACTAATATCGTTTACTGATAATGTGTAGGTAAGGTATATAGCCATTTGAATCCTATATAAAAATATAAATACACCTGCATTTAGAATGGGCTGAAAATTAGAACATAAGATTTTCTAGAAATGCAATATTCCCTCCTCTTTTTTTGCGAACTTAGGAATTATGTTTTGGGTTTTTTAAATGCATAATTTAAATTTGAATTTCAAAATTTTGATCATAAAGTAGTAGACCTTTTGAAAGAGCGCAATGTATTATCACATTCTCCAGCAAAGAAGCTTGCTTGTTTACAGTTGAAATGTGGCTCTGTCCATGGTTTTTGTATGAAACTTATCTGAGTGAGGAGGTGATCATTGGTTTGGCTTTTATTCAGTGTTATTACTAATTTTTAGAATCTAATATGAGATCCTGAGGGCTTTGTGTTCCTCAGTGGAAGCCAGTTGTGGCTTAGAGCAGATTGACCCACTCCTTGTAACTGTTCTTGCAACTTGTAATTACCACTGTGCTGGTGATTACTGGTGATCTCGGCTTCATTTTTGACTTGCCAGAGGTTTAGTAAAATGCTGATGAAATGATTTCCACGTGGTGACAATTCCAGTTGGGACTCTGGCTCTCTGTGACGAAGCTATCTGGCAAGTCCATTTACAAACTGATCTCGTCACTTCGTGACAGCTATCTGATGCTTAATGCTTTTTGACCCTGCAAATTCATTGTCCCCAGTGTGGAGCAATGTAGTTGGGTCCTTCCTGTTCCCTCTGATTTAAAGCGACCAAGACATGCAGCCTGTAAACAGGCTATCAGTGCAGAATCAGAGGTGCTTCATATCCTGTTTGACAGCATCATTGCTTTGATTATGCTTACGGTACGCAGATGTGATTGAAAGGTTTTGCTGGATGTGGCATCCTACTGGCCACATCAACTACCAGGTGTGGATGCAAGCCGTCAGCTTCTCATCAGAGTCACAGAAGCGAAGCCGACAGCGCAGCCAGCGCACACCAGCTTCAACCTACCATCTCGCTGCCAGCGCCGCCCGGTTATTTCAGTGCTGACCTTTTTCCCTTCGCTGTCTTGTCAAAAGCTACAATCTACGATCTGACAGTAACTAAGGAAGAAAAGGACGCGGCCAGAGCCAAAGCGCAAAATTAAATGGAATTAGCCATTTCAACAGACCATCATCCAGAATACATTAATGCTCTGGAGCATCCGAAGGGGCAGGCTTCTTAACAGCAGCAACCAAGTCCACTACCAGCTGTTTACATTTCCATGCAAGTCTGGTATTGGAACTATATTGTCAGCTTGTGTTGGTGGACAGGTTACTACTCAGTCAGTTGTTCACGACTGACTGTGCAGAGTGGCAGTGATGGTGAAAAGAAGGGCAGGAGAGGTAAAGTGTCTTGACAAGACTAAACTTCTAGATGTAGCTTTTACCTTTGACGTTTTGTGTTGAAAATCTCTTACTTGCTGTATGTTTTTAAAGCCACTGAAATAGCTATCAGCAAAGCCTTTGTGGTTGCTGCCTTTTAAGACCATTAGTTCAGGATTGGGGAAAAAACAAAACCTAAGTGCAATTTTATTTCAGCAAGCTGCCTTTATAATATAAAATTGGGGGGGGGGGGCGGGGAATAAATTATCATTTTAGCTGGGTGTTCAAGTCACTGTGTAGTGGGCTGCCTACAAGCAAGTCTGGGGTAATGTGTGGTCCCAGGCAGGTAGTTCTGGCATGTGGGCAGAGACACAGTTGCCCTTGGGGCTGGCCATGACTCTCAGCTCTGGCGAAAAAAGGGATGCTCATCAAGAATAACTCTCCCCATATCAGCTGGGCTAGATGTGGAATGGCTCAAGGCATGAATCAGACCTAGAGTAACTCCAGATTCTTACTGGAGTAAGCAGCAGCTGAACCTGCCCTACGGTCCATTTTTATTTAATTTCAGTAGTGCCGTCCACTCCCAGTGGGAACCAGGAGTTATAACTCTTCTCTTAAAAAAAGAGGCCAAATTCTGATGCTGGCTTTGTGTGTTTGGTTCTTGATGTGCTCAGTGAGGTCTCAAATTTGATCATCTTTCTTCAGCAAAGTGCCAAAGCATGTTTCACTTTAAAATGCGCTCCAGTAGATATTTTCTTTTTCCCTTCCTAAAATATCTACTCCAATTCCCATGTTCCTTACAGCCTGTGTCAGTTCAGAGCACTGCTCTAAGGGAAGGTTACCATGAGGAAAACCAGAGTGTGGGTTTCCAGCGTTTGACCATAACTGGTGCATGCCCTTGTCCAATTCACCTGTAGTTGCAGTAGACTTCAGTGTAGTGAGAATGTGTATTTGGCAAGAACAAGCTGTTTGTATGGAAAAGTTAAAGCACTCCACATCCTCATGCTAACTTGCCTTGCAGTAACTTGATAGTGAAGAGCAGGCAGACTAAGCTGAATATGTATTTCAGCCACCTTTGGGCCTCACATAGTGTAATCCAATAACAAGTCCTTCCTCCAAAGCATACAAATAACATGGCAGTGCATCATATGAAATGTTATCAAAAGCCAGATCTCGCATCACTAAAAACTAGGTACGGCTCCCCTCAATCCTATCAACGTTGTTTTCCTCTCATTTTTAATATGTTGGTCAAAATATAATTGCTAATGCATATGGACTTGTTCAGTTTTACTTGCTGCTAGTGGAGCACTTCTGTGCAGTTTATTCTTATTTTTCTATGCATACCTTGAAGATTAATTAGTCCTGTGTTGTGCTGGTATTCCCCTGGTACTGGGCTGGTCTCAAACTCAAATGCTGCTCAGTGGCTGGTATAAGTGAGCTCTGTGGAGCATTTAGCTAAAGCAGGAGATTCATGTGTGAAGGTGCAACTTCTGTGCTTTCACTTCTGCGTGCCACGGATCTCTGCTGTCAGCTGGCTTCTTGCATGTAGCATCAAAGGGAGTTTCAAAAAAAACATTTGGCACAGGACAAATTTGTAATGTCTCTCCACCTGCCTGTGCTAAGGATGTTATCTCTGTGGACAGTGTAGCAGCTACAATGCATTTTGTGACCTAGAGGGAAGTTTCCCTTGCCACTTCCCCTCCTGGTGCATCTTGTGCCTGCCTTGGCATTTCAGGCTGGCCCCAAGAGGAAGGAGACACTGGCTCTATGTCAGGCTCCACCTGTGTAAAGTAAAAGGGAAGGAAGAGCAGCAAACTGTTGTGTTGTGCTGTTACCAGAGCTCCGAGAAGTGTTACCGTATAGGTTACTAAGAAGTAATTTTAAAAGCTTGCTGTGGAGAAGCTGAGAAACCAAACCAGGCTTCTTTAATACTTTCTTCCTCAAATTACGTTTCCTGTTTCTAACTGTCCTGGGTACACTGACTCTAGGGGGTTTCATGATAGACATGAACTCACCTGATGCTACCATGACTTGTCTCTGTCCCTTCCCTTCTGCACATTTCTATTCCCAGCAGATGCTCAACCGGGCAGATCACCTTACTGATCTCTCTGGCAACAAACAGAGGGTTATTTTTCAGGTGTGTGAGCGAGCTCAGTGCACTGCAACATGATCAGTGGTGCCAACAGTGGAGGGCACGCACAGTTGGGATCTCACTTCTGACAGCAGCCTTCCTAGGTTGGCTTTACTCAGATGTGAAACTGCTCTATCAGTGAAAAGACCATTGAAAAGTTGGCTGAAAAAACTGACAATGCTCTTCCTGCTTGAATGAACAAATCACAGTTGCTTATCACAGTAATGACAAAAATCACAGGTGTCCCCCCTGCCCCCATCAGGACTGAAGCAAGAGAAGTTGAGAGCAGCTGAAGGGCAGTTTTAGGAGCACTTGCTGTGGCCAGCAGACAGTGTGTCTGATGTGGCAGGTCTCTTGTGCCACTGGTGGTTTCTGCTGCTGGGGCAGGGGTGTGGGGGAAGAGCACAAAGAAAATCACGGCACCTGGGTCTTTAATTATTCCCATGCACAGCAGATGCGAAGGGGGCTGTGCACAGGCTCAGTTCTTGTAGGGACTGAAAGATTGTATTTTTCCAGGACTTGTAACAGATGCAAAGCTTCCTCTCTGATTCACAGAGGGGTTATGAGGGGAGTCCTGTTTGTCTGCATCTGTCTGAACAGAGCTGCTGCTGAAAGCCAAGTGCCATCTGCTGTGGAGATAGGAGGAAGGACTGGTGCTTATGGTTAGCAAAGGTATCTGGCCAAAGAGCCATGGAGGCACCATGACATGACATCAGCCATGTCAGGCTCACAGTATTACTGTGGTACCTTTTAATTAAGGCATTGGTGGTCAATGGGGTGCCTGCGGGCACAACCTTGAGACGAGTGTTGCTCTGTGAAGCACCAGTGCCATTACAGCACCTTGACCATTGCTGCTGAATATCAAAAGTGTCAGTGTGAATGTTTTGTTTCAGGCATAGGGTAGAGAACAGCCATTGTCATGTTGTAATTCAGATAGCTCTGGAAGGAAATGCAGTATTTGAGCTATTTTTCATTACTCTTCTGTATTTTTACTTACAGAATCATTTCAAGTTGTGGTAAGAGGCAACGGCTTTTATCATGCAAGAAACATCGACCAGGTACTCTGCAGCTTCAAGCTCAATGACAGCCTTACTATCAGTAAGTTTGCAGGCTGATGATTCCAGTGCCCCCTGTGGCTCTGTCACCTCATGAGTGACAGAGGTGAAACAGCCCACCTCTCGTCCATGTTGGGGGAGTCCTTGCAGTGGATTTGAGGGGAGCTGGGTAGGGATCTGCACGTAACAGAAGCTTGAAATGCATCTTTACTCAGTTCTGCAACCTGTGGGCATTGTGTCGCGAGGGCTTATGTGGGGTGTGCTGCTGCACAATGAATTCAGTGTCATTGTAATGGTGCACGTGGGTGATGCATATGGCTAGTGAGGACTGGGTATCAGGTTTTAAGAGGGAGAAATAAAATTGCTCCCTATTCCCTTGTTCATCACCAGTAAAAACAAATAATGCTATCTTGATCCCTTGGTTGTGTCTTCAGGCTCTTTATTCACCAATTCAGGAGACAGGCCTGCTTGATTCGTCTCTGACGCCAGTTGCTGGTCTCGTTGCAGCGAGCGTGTAATGCAGAAATTCCCTGTCATCGCTGTGCTAAAACAAGGTCTTTTGTTTGCTGTCTCAGCAGCCAGGCAAAGGACTGAATGGCCAAAAAAGATTGAGTGTCCAGTTTCTCAGCAGTCCTCTCTTATTCCTGAGAAACCATGTATGTCTGGCAGGGTGAAGCATGGCATGGGGAGGGGAACTTTGCTCCTTTTCTGTATATGCTGCCCTTGTTGGCTGAGCACAGTAGAGGCTTTCATATCCTGTCGCGGTCAGACTGGTGCCTTCCCTAGCAGTGAATTCACTTACAAGAGGGAGCACATGAATTGCTCCTTCATTTCCCATCCTAGTTGCCTACGTGGAGGCTGCATTAAATAAACTCTGGTGGTCTCATTCTCATTCCACTTACAGATGCTGTTTGCCAGGGGTTTATTTCTTGTCGTTTACCAGATAGACAGACTTTTGAGTTTTTTTCCTTCCTTGTCCCTAATGCACTGGCACCTTGACTGGACTTCACACAGTGAGTGTGACCTGGGCCTGGAAGTACACAGGAGGAAAACTACCCTAATTCCACATCTCCTCCATGCTGTGTTCTCCTTGGGTTAGGTCTGCAACAGATGTTGTGTTGAGACACTGGTCTATGCTGGCTGGCTTTTTTCCCCTCAGACTGGCTTTAAAACATATCACTATAATTTCCATGGTCTCATCTCTGCCAAAACAGGAAAATGAGCTTTGTCTTCAGGTGTGCTTGGGGTGGGTGAAGCATGAAAGAACGACTCTCATATCTGTTGTTTCTCAAGTTAATTTTTCGTAGGTAGAAAGAGTAATCAAGCCTCTGAGGTTTAAATAATCTGGCAGCTTTTACCAGCCCCTAATTCACTTGGGTTGGACTTTTGTGAACCAGTCTTTCTCTGCACTAGCACCTTAGCTGCTTGGGGCCATTCGGAGCTAAGGTGTGGTGACTTGTCTGCTCTTGTGCCTCAGCTTATGCACTTTTAATGGAGTGGCCTTGCAGGATTACTGCTGGACCTCCTCTCTGTGTTCATGGGACTCGGCTTTCTGGAAGTGGCTTTTGAAAGCAACAGGATTAGCACTGCTAAGTCTTGGAGCAGCAGAGTGCTGGGAGGCAGGAAGACACCCATGGCCTTGCTTTTGATTCTGCCTGCACCAGATCCCTATAAACATGGGCTGTTTCTGGATGGTGCTGCCACAGAGGGGATGTTGGGGACAGGAAAAGCAGCAGCTACTGCAGGACAGGTCCTAACAGTAACATCAGTCATGGCCTCTCTCTGCCTTTCTCCTGTATAGGACCAACCATGTTTTGTTTTGTTTTTTCCTTCTGGTGTCTGTCTGCTTCAGCTCCACCCCATCTCTGTTCTTCCTTTTCCCTGGGCTCAAACAGTGCAGCCTGAGCTTCTCCTGTGTGTGTGTTTGGAAGTAGGTAGGCAAAACTGAACCCTATACTTTTGACCCCTTAAGTAACTTGTAGGATCAGAGTATTCAATATGAGTAGAGTTTGCATGCACTTGTCAGATAGACAAGATGAATGTTGCTTAAAGCAGGCTTCAAAATGGCTCATCACTGTTGTAAGGAACAGAAATATACTTCCATTTCTTAGCTGTGGTGTCTCTAGCCTGATAACATTATATTGTCATCAACAAGAATCGTCATCCTAGTACTTGGCTTTGTAATCAGTACCATTGGGGAATATTGGTACTGGCCTATATACTGAGTTTGTCTGTGGCTCTCGTTGGTGTCAGCTCTTTTCCAGGGGGTGGCCTGCTTGGGACAGTTTCTTTTTTTCATCCCTGACAGTTATATTCATTTCTTTTCAGATGAAAAGCCGACCCTTGTTCACGATACTTACTTACTTTGTCCTGCCCCAGTGATAGAAGATGCTGGACAGTAAGTATTGGTTTGCAGCACATGTCAAGAGAGAGGGGACTTCTGGATGAGGATGTCATTACTGAGCCAAGGGCTCAGAATTTTGCCCAAAGGGCCAAGCTAATAAATTTGTGTGTGTGTGTGGCAGGATTACCTCCATCCCCGTTGTGCCAAATCCTGCCAGCATAGCTCTATTCATTGTTGAGTCTTTAGTACAGCTTAACCAAAGGCCTTGTTAGACCATGGTCCTATATCACAGAATCACAGAATGGTGATTTCTCCTCTGTTCCTATATCCCAATTTTTCAAACCAAAGGGTAATTGAATTCAAGGCAAACTTTTCATTCTGATCAAAAAGAGATGCTTGATTTGAATTCCTGTGCTGCTGTTGTAGGTGTTGCTTCCTGTGTCTTGCCCTGCTCTAGCTAGTGTTGGTATTTTTCAGCTGTTGTAATCCTGCAGAGTCCTGGGAGACAAGGCACAAGGCCCTACCTTTCCCCTGGGTGATCTTGTGGGTGCTTAAATACTGTACTGGGGCTGAGGGTGAATGCCTCCCTCCCCTTTCCTATTTGTGGGTGAGAGAAAGTTGTTGGGTGTTTTGTTTGTTTTTGTTGGTTGTTTTTTTTTTTCCCCCTCAGATACTTTCTTTGATGTTGGAGAACGGCTAGAGCCAGGTTCTTTAATTTCACTGTCATTTCAGTGTTTTTACCCCTTGACCCCAGTGCAGGTATTCTGGATTTACTTGCATATAAAAGAAAACACATTCTGGCTCTTTAAGCTGCAGAAGGGGTTAAAAAAAAAAAAGCCTAAAAGTAAGTTTCTTGTGCTATCTAGGGTGGTATTGCAAATGTCTGAGACTTTGTTATGACTCACTGTCCTAGTAGTGCCTTTTGCCCCAGGTGGGATTAAGGTTTTTTAATAAAGAGCATATGCCCCAACTCAATTAAGCCAGTGTAAAAAGGATAGCTCCTGGGCAAGCAGAGAGACAAATGCAGGTAAGCACCTGAAGCCATGAAAATGCCTTGACTCAGCAGGACATTTTATCCATGCGTGTTTATGAGCCAATGGCTAAAACACAGCCAGAATAAAGGGAACAATGGGTACAAAGATGACACTAAAAATAAGTATATCTGTTTTGTGCTTTAGGGTGGTTTTCCTACAAGTCAGCATGAACAACGGGCTAACATTCATCTCCAGCTCTGTCAGCATCACCAGCACATACTGTGTAAGTAATTGCAATGGGGCTTGACAGAGAAACCATGAGATCTTGGAAAGAGACGGTGGGTCTTCAGGCAAAGCCTCCTTGAGTGAGCATGAGCCCTCTACAGCTTCTACATCATGGTTATTGACTGAATCTCAGCAGTTCTTTGAAAAATAATCAGGGCTAGTTACGATTAAATTGTTATTGATGACACATAGATCGTGATAGATTTACTGAATAAAAAATTACAGCAAAAGGCACCCTGCCTATTCCTGTCCTGGGAAAGAGAGATCCTCAAAGCTAGGATCTGACTAGAAGGGAATCTGGGAAAATGAGGGAAGGAGCATCAGGAAGCAACACCCTGTTGACCTTTGGGATCCCTTATGGGATCTGGCGTGAAAGGTACAACTTACCAGGACTGGGATCTGGAAGAGCCACAGCATGGAAGGTCCTCTAAATTTACATGGTTATTTTTTGGTTGGAGCCTACAGCGTTTGTTCTTAGACCACCACAATTTGCCTTTACTAGTTCAGGATTCACTAAGGTGTTTTTACAGTTTTAGTGACAGGAGCTGGTTGCTTTTCTCTTGGCGTCATGGGGGGTGACCAGAAAGAGTTAGCAGCCTCAGATCCTGGGATGAGCACCTGATAAAAGGCTGCTGCTCAGCCCAGCTGAGGGGGAATGTGCTTCTGCGGGACAGCAATGGCTGTGATATGAGCATCTCCTCGTCAAAAAGACCACCTATCCCCAGGTGGACTGTCAGGGACCAGTAGCTAGAAGTAATTCTTTATCAAAATCTGATTTTTAGAGTCAAACAATCAAAATTAAGCTGACTACTAGATAAGTGGTCTTCTTCCTTGCCTTGGAGTAAAAATAGGCAATGCCCATAGCTGTTGCAAGCAAGTATGGTAGCTAAGGATTTGGCCTTGTGCTTCTGGACTAAACAAAGTTTGCTGAAGTACCTGATAGCAAATACTTTGTATCAAAGTTGAGCTTTATTGATACTAGTGTCAAAAGGACTTTTATAGCCTATGCAAAATGCTGTCATATTGGTTTGTAATCATTGTTGGCCTTGTCAGCTGCAGAACAGAAGGGCGGGAATGAAAATAGAGGCAGTGACTGGAACTTGCAAATCTGATTTTGTGATGTTTTCAGCAGTGAAGGTGGGAAATCTCACATCAGATTGCTGGAACAGTCTGGGGTGCAGGGACTCAGAATTTAGCAGAGATGTGTTTGCTGCTTCACCTGATTACTCTTATTTTTCCAAAACTTTCCTCCAACTTTTCTACACTGAAGACTAATATTTTCACATATTATTCCTCTCTTATACCTTGGGTACAATAAAACCTTTTGACTCTACAGTGAAACACAAGTGTTAACTGGTGCATTTAGTTACCCATATGTAGTTTATTTCTGATGAAGACTGAAGTCTTAGCCTTAGCTGGGCTTCCTACAGGCCAGAATGTGCACAGAGGAAGCTTTTCTCTCAGTAGCCTTAGGATAAAGAGAGGAATCCAATCTCCCCGGTCCTGTCAATCTGACAATTTTTGACCAGCCTCTTGCAGATTGAATGTGAAAGAGGCAGGGAGCCTGATTCTCAGCTGGTACAAAAAAAGACTGTCTCAGTCCAGTTACATCCCATAAGCAGGGAGGTTGGCAGTTCAGTTTCCAACTTTGTCTAAATTTCATGCATTTCACTCTTCTCATTTTAGAGACTCCCTCCGTTTCCTTTCCTCTCCTGTTTCCTTTTCTGTGGGTGGCAGTCAGCCGGCCCGCTCAGCTCTCCTCTCCAGCTGGCCCTTCTGTCCTTTCCGTACAGTAAGTATCTTCTCTTTCCTTTACTCCTAAAGCCTCTGTGTGATCCCTGTGCTTATGTCTGTTCAGCTGCATGAAGTCTGCTATTTCCTTTTCAAAGTCCAGCTTCACTACAATGCTTTGTATATTTAATCATTAAAAGAGGACTCTTTAGCTTCTTGCTGCCAGCAGCTCCTGAGCTGCTGCTGGCAAATGTCTTGGCGATTTATATGAGCACTTGGCATGGGAAAAGCAACGCCTGGGAACAAAGGCTACAAAACAAGGAGGTAATGTGTGTTTGGAGTAACAGTAGCAGTGGTATGTACATCTGTGGCTCATGCACTGCATTGGTGCTGTGCTTGGATTTGTTTTTAAGGAGTGCAGCAATACCTCTGAAAGTTATGCTTGACTTTTATTCATCCTTTTCTCAGCAAACTGACTTCACTGGGAATTCATGTCTCTCAAGTGTCCGCTTTCCAGATGCGTTAGTGCTACATGGGGCCATAGGAAGGCCAGAGAGGAGGGCTGCAGCACTGAACTGCAGCTGGGTAGTGTGTCTTCTAACAGGACTCCTTTGAGCAGGGGGTCTGGGACATGTCACAGCACTCCACCTTGGCTTTCAGCTGCTCCCTGACCAAATGAATAAGGTGAGCTAAATAGTGTATCCCAAAACAGGTTGACTTGTTGCATCTATAACAAAAAGCCACAGAACAGTGGAGGCATGGTGATGCTGTGACAGAGAGATATGGGATACTGGACTCCCTGCCTAAAAGTATGGAGTAGGAGCTGTGGTTGTGTTAGTCCTGACAGCTCTAGGATTTGGTCTGAGAAAGAACTAGGTGCCACCCAAGTCAGCCACTCTGGATCAGACCTAGACTTTGCAAAGCTCTTACCGGCTGGTACTTTCTTTTCCACCCTCAGCCTTTTCATTGTCAAAAGGGGAAACAAACCCACTTGGAACAGTGAAGGGAACTTAGGTTGTAAGAAGGGGCTAAGCATCAGTTTCTGGTGTCATGGGAATTCAGCAAGTAGTTTCAGATTTAATAAGGTGAATCTCACGGACTTTATCCTCCATAAATCTTCTTTGGAATTTGCTTTCTTTCCATTTAGCCTCCCACCTATCCTTTGAAAATATCTTATAGCTTCCTCTCTAGCTAGCTCCTATTCCCTCAGCCTGATTTGCAGACCTTTCTTCAAGCTCTTTTCACATCTTCCTAGTCCCAGGCTCTCCTCTAGTTTGCCGCCAGGTTTTGCCTGTTCTTTGGTACCTCCATTGCTGGTGAATTGAACCTCTTCTCAAAATCAGAAAATCTACCACTGAAGAGGTTTCTTTTTGCAGTATAAAAGAAATGGCTGGAGCACTGGAGCTAATCTTAACCTCATCCCAGAGCCCAGTGCAGTCCAAGGAAGCAGCATGTCACTGCCCATCTGCAACAAATGTTTAATTTCCAAAAAGCCATGTGTTCTGTATGTTCTGCAAGGGCCAAGCAGCATAAGACCACCTGCTTTCCTGTAGTCATCAGAGCAATACACAGAGTTAATACCTCTTCTGAACACACTGACGTGAAATGCTCCGAGTGCAAAGAATCCATCAAGATTTACCCAGGAAAATCAGAGCTGTGATTCTCTTTGGTTGCCTGGCTGCTCCAAAAAGCTAATTTCAAGTGTTAACACTTGAAGTTTTATGGATTCTAGTAATTTTAAAGAAAATTTAACTTTGATTTTGAATGTAGACCCTTAGCTATCCAGCCCCAGAGTCCCACTGTTCTCTGCAGAGAAATAGATGGAATACAAGAATCAGAAATGTTTAAGAGCATGGTTACAGCATCTCATTAAAAATAGTCAAACCAGCCCGAGGAAGCATACCAAGAACCAGCAGCTTTAAGGACTAGTCTGCATAATCACTCAGGCTGGGTTTGTGTGTGCAGTTTGAGGCAAGAGGCAATACAAGCAGGCTTGGGAGCTGATGAGGCTGAGCAAGTAACTTGTGCTCTGTTCCACAATGTTGACATGTCAACAGTTACCCATAAGCTCTTAGCTCCAATAGTCCCATTCTTTGAATATCAGCATTTGCATATTCTGCATCTCTAGTGATGAAAGGTTACTCTGCACACCTAAGAGTCTGTGGTCATGTAGTTTGCAATGCTTCTCTGCCAGTATTAAGGGACTTGTCAGCACAGATTTGGGAATGGTTTGTATACAAGTTTAACACCCTTGAATCTAGTGGGCTATAAACATACCATAAATTTATGCATAAATTATACATACCACAAACAGGAAGTGCTTCCCTGAATGATGACTTCAAATACAGATTTGTGACAGATGTGATCCTAATGATAATTGTGATTGACTGCACAATCTACCTGAGACCTCATAGTGAGGGAAACCTGGCTCATTTTGCCCAGTCTTAATGTGTAACTTCAGGGCTCCTGCCTTGTTTGTGACATGCACAGGTAACTCAGAAGTAATCATCTTGTTTGCAGCTGACTGGGACCATCCTTTTCATTGCTCTGCTGATTCTCTTTCTGCTGCTGGCTCTGGCTCTTCTGTGGTGGTTCTGGCCCCTTTGCTGCACGGTGGTAAGTACAGGTTTTTATTCTTTTGACTTGTTTCATCTCTTCTCTGTGAAAGCAGTGTTGGACTGGGTGGTTAACTTTGTTTAAGAAAAATACTGCCAGGTTTGTAAGGCCCTGATTCAACAAATTGCATAAAGTGCTTGTTGAAGTCACTCTGGTCTGGGTTTTTGAACGTTGCAAGGCCTATGTGATTTTGACATTGAATGAGAAGTTTAAGTGAGCTCGTGGACATGTCCAAAGTTTCTGTAGGGATCAAGACCTCCTTAGAGCAAGATTTGAAACCTGCTGCAGAAAAGTGTAATGGAACTGATTTAATAATATATGCATAAGATGTTACAGTCCTTTTTAAAGACAAGAGTTAGGCTTTCTTTTTTATTCAGAGGAGCTGCAGATTCTGAGTGAGTATTTTGCACTAGCTTGGTAATTATATGACATTTTTAAGGCAGGATTACCAGAATGTGGAGCTGTATTATGAGTTACTTAATAGGGCACTTCTTGACTAATCAGATAGTTTAATGTGATGGATTTAACTTCTCATCTGCATTTATTTTATGCGCACTGAAAAGCAGTGGGGCTAATGAGAGGACTGAATATGGGGGAATGGAGCTGGGTAACCCATCTGTGATACAAGCAAGAAAGCAGGGAGGACATAGCATTGAGATGGATGAAGCCTACCATTATCTCAGATTTTTCCCATTATTTATATATTCCAGGTGATCAAAGAGCCGCCGCCACCAACACCTCCAGAGCCTGTAAGTATGCTATTTTTGAGCTGTTGCACTATCTGCAGCCACTGTAGTGTATCGTGCTGCTCAGGAACTTCAGCCCTGTAGGTGTCTTAATGACACCTTGAAGGCTGTGAGAGGAAGTCTCTTGGGTCAGGACAGTTATTTCTGCCTTCTGGCCTCTTTATATAGATACAGCAAGATTATTTCCATCCACAGAGAAAATAGTTGCATAACTCAGAAGTCCACAGAGCAACAGTTCCTATGGTATTTTGTTCTTTCTGCTGCACATCAAACAGGCGTGTAGGCAAATCTTCATTTCTCAAGCTGTGCTGAAAGCTGTCCCTCCTCCAGTAAAGCTGCCGTTGTTCTCAGCAGGAGTTTGGCCCAGATTGGCAGTAAGGAATAAAGTCTGGCAGCTGAAAGAAAGGACAGTGAAGGCCACATTCTTGTGGCTTTGCTACAGGAGAGGGAGACAAGAGCCTGCCCTGGCTGTGGCTCTGATGCAGAGTGACCTTTGGAAGGACATTTAGCCTTTCTCCATTTAGATTGTGAGCTGTTTGAGGCAGGGTTGTATTTAGCTTTTTTTGGGACAGTAACACACTGACCCTTACCTCACTGATCCTGACCTCAGCTTAGTTTCACTGTACTAATTTCATGAAAATAATAGTAATAAATAAAAGTACCTCCAGAGACAACTCATGCCTGCCTTTATTTCTTTCCTAGGCATAGACAGTTAAATGGTGGAAAAATACTTGCCTAACCCACAAGAGAAGCTTACAGTTTGCTGCTAACTTGCTGTAATTTGGCATGAATATCAGGAGGCAACCACAGCTGCTGTTTTGAGGTTGCCAGAGGCCACTATTACTGTGTATGTGATCTTGTTGCTTGTCCTGGGCAGCAGCACTGTGACAATTTAACTTTAGCATAAGCACCAAAAATCATGCTGGTTTTAGGGTGATTAGTGTTGTCATGAAGCATGCAATTGCAGCCATGCTGTGTTTGAAGGAGATTGCAGAGATCATCGCACCCCTGCAGCAGAGTTCCAGATGCTTTGTGATTATTCTAATCAGCAGAGATTTTAACTGCAATCAAAGAGACTGTGAGCTGACGTAAGAGTCCAGGAATAACACAGAATACAGATGTTATCCATCCCTTTACTTGGCCTTGTCTTTATCCAGTACGGATTGTTGGTTTGTTATACTTAGCACTAGCCTCCCTAGGTATGGTGACCTGCTCTTTAGCTGATGTAGTCTGGTATTGCTGCTATTAAACTGAATATAGTTATCTAAAACCTGTTCAAAACCACAAGCATTAGATTTGCATTACTTTTCAAAAGGTATGTGGTAGCTCTTGGTGTTGCTTTGTTATGTGTTCAGCGTAGGGAATACTTGGTGTAAGTTCTTTATCAGCTGGAGTAGTGTCAGTCATCACTGTGTCCTGCTACTGTCAGGCTTGCCAGCAATAAGGACTGTTAGACATGAAGACTTGAAATCTGTGTTACATCCCATGGAAGAGGCAGGATATTTCATATAGTACTCAAGTTCACAATGAAATCAAATATAAATGAATTAAAACTGCTCATGTAGTTCACTGGGTACTGTTTTAGATGTGGTACAAAATGGGATAAAATCTGTTTGTATATTTGTTATACTCTTAAAAAAAAAAAAAAAAAACCAACACAAAAAACCCCAAACCAAAACAACAACAAAACCCAACACCAAACCACAGTGCCTTCCTTGTATATTTATTTCCCTAACTTAGGGTAAAAACAAAACAACAACAAAAAACCCAACCAAAAACCCAAAACAAACAAACAAAAAAACCCAAAACCCAAACACCCTTACTAGTTAAGGGAAATGCCAACTCTAGTCTTGCCTGACCATACTAAAGAATTTGTTGGAGGAACTGATCCATGAACTATAGCTGAGAGATCAGATGTCACTGAATAACTGATGGGAATACATTTCTCCAAGGCATAACCCAAGAGTTAAATATGAACAAACAAAAATTAAAGCATGTTTTTTAAAAGCCATTATTGGCTTTTGGACTCTCAATTCCTTTTACATTCCAACAGCAACATGTAGGGCAATTTTGAGAAAATGTTACCTAGTAATCTGACAACAATTTGTGTCCTTCTCTAGTATTGGGATTTCACTTAATTTTTACTAAAAAAAAATAAAAATAAAAAAAATCAATTCCAGGTAGTGTTTCTAGAAACATACTTGTACTGACAAAAATTAGCAGAGAGCACTGTGCATGGCCAGTCCAAGAGCAGTATGCACATCTGCATATCAGCATGCGACATAGTTATTTGTCTTTAATAAAGAGTGTGAGGAATGAAGATGGTATTGTAGGAGCTTGTTGGGCTCTTTCCTCATTTACGTGTGTACTTAGATAGTGTCATAGTGTGACTTCCAGCTGCCTTGACTCAGCGTAATAGTAGGGAGTCTGAGAAATCCCAGTGACTTTTATCGGCTCAAGATGATAGAGCTGGAGATGTGCTCCCAGGGTTGTCGAACTAGAAACATTTGCCAGCTTTTAGTTAAGCAAGAACAGAACAATGAACCTGAAGTAAAACCCTGATTCATACTCTCCCATGTTCCAGAAAAAGAATCTGTAGTCTTTATAACCGCAGGTCAAAAACTCTGGATCTGAGTTTCCTGACAATTTGGAGGTGCTCCAGTCTGAGTCCTGCTTCCAAACTGTACAGTTTGAGCCAGACTCTACAAAGAATCAAGCAGCATAGAATAACTGGTTACAGCTGCCATGAGAAAAGGGTCTGATGCACATGTTAGAAAACTCACAGTGGTAGCTTTTTTCCCCTGTTAGGTGACATTAAGTTCTAAAAGCTCAATTAATACATGATTTCTTTGGGCTAACTGATTGCTGCATTTTCTGCATAGCATAGTGGCAAGCCATTATAATGTACAATTCATCTCCACTTTGCCTTCCCTTACAAGTCAGTTGTGATTTTGAAGCTCAGTGCATGTTTGACTAAATAAAAGCTGTCTGGAGAGAGGAATAGGCAATCCTCTTTGGCTCCTCTAGTTAAAATTGCAGCTGCAGAGACAAGAGACTTTTTTGTCAGCAAGTAAGTATAACACACAAAGCGAGATACCCAAGAATTGGACCATAGGATGTTCAGTTGTTTTCCATAGTTTATGCTGTTTATGTGAGAACAGCAGTAATATCTCCCTATCTTTCCCATAGGAATCAGATGATGAAGATGGATTGCCAAAGAAAAAGTGGCCAACTGTGGACGCATCTTATTATGGAGGTCGAGGTGTTGGTGGGATTAAGAGGATGGAGGTATTTGGCTTGTTCTTTAGTATTGTAAAAATCAATTCATTTAATTTTAAGTTGTAGCAATATGTTTTTCTTTGCTTTTTAAAAAGCTATCTTGATGGACTAGAGACTGGGATTTAATTAGGGCTTGTCCACCTGATTGCATCTGCTGTCCAAGTAACAGACGTCAAGCTGCCATCATTTGCATGAATAATTAAATGAATCTAGCATTATGAGCCATAGAAAATTTGCACGTTAAGAAATGGGATAAGCACCAAAAGAAGTTTTAATATACTGAATCAAACCCTTCGGTGCAGTTGGGTCCAGTTTTTTTGTCTCTGGCAGAGTTACACTGGTTTTGAGTATTTGAGGGTGCCATCAACACTGTGCCTGGCTGGCTGGAAGCAGTTTGTTTGGGGAATCTAAACCAGCAGTTTTTCTCTCTTTTCCTCTTTTTTTCTTTTCTTTTCTTTTTCTTTTGGGTTTGTTGGCTTGATTTTTGGTTTTGGTGGGATTTGCTTGTTTGGTTGTTTTTTTTTTCAGTTAAGCATTAACTCCTGATGCACAAAACCACATCTGTGTTGAAATTGGCCAATGAATTAAATCCTGCCCTGGCATTCGTGCACAAGCCAGTCTTGATGTGTGAAGTGAGGTGTTACTATGAAAGAAATTTGCCTTGTGCTGTCCTATGGCATGTACATTCCAGGGAGTCAGTGGATAATGCTGTGATCAGCTACAAACTCCTGTAAATAACCATGTTAGTGAAATCAATTCAATATTCCTAACCACAGATAATATAAGGCAGGGAACTGTCACTCATCTGTATCAGCTGAGGGCCTAATGATGACTTTTAGGGATGTCACACCAGAAACTCACACTAGATTTAACTGGTAGCTGAGGGAGGTGGGCTAATGTAAGCCATCCAAGGATATGGACCAAACTATGGCTAACAGAATGAAAGCAATGGCTTCTCAGCAAGTCCCTGCAACTCTGCAGTTGAATTATTGCATCTTAATATCCTTAAGCATTTTCTTCAGGAGAATTTTATCCTTGATGCTGAGTGACCCCATGGATCATATATTGCCCTTAAATGCAGGGTAACATTTCTCTTGGAGGTAAGTCAGACAAGAAAATCAGAATTTCAGCTTGAAATAAGTAGCGTATGGTATGTGAAGATAAAGTTACTGACCTCTCTTGTGATTGTGCAAGGTCATCTTTGGAAGAGCTGTTTTTAGTAGTAGCTACACAAGTTTGAGGGCCGATGTTCTTAAACTGTTCACATACTTGTCCACTGACCCTTTTTTCACTTTTGAGCTGAACAACACTAGCTGCTTAGGGCTAGCTGTAAGGACCACCTGCCTTCAGCTGGTGCTGCTGCCTGCTCTTCGCGTGAGGCAATGGGAGGTGTATTACATCTGTATCCTAGCAGAGTTGGGCAAAGTGCTTCAGGTTTCACTTGGAAATGGGTTAATCTGCCCTGGATACTGTGAATTCCCGCATCGCATTAGGTTACTGGAAGGTGCAAAGGCTAGTAGTTCAAGCAGCTTTTGAATGAGACTATTTGACTCTTAAATGTGTATTTCTGATTACAGTAGGAGTTTGGTGTCTTCATAAATTTGGCTTCATGTCTGGTGGCATTGGGTCATCTGGTGGGAACTAGATTAATATCTGTGAAAACCACTTGCTGGTGGGGACTACTGAAGTGTCTCTACTTAGTGTGCTCTCCTGACTTCAGGTGCGGTGGGGAGACAAGGGGTCAACAGAGGAAGGAGCAAAATTGGAGAAGCCCAAAAATGCTATTATTAAGTTGCCAGAACAGGAGTATGAGCCATGGGAACCCAAGCCGAAAAAGCCCCATGTAAGAAAACCACCTTCCCAGCGGAAATGGTACACTCCTATCAAGGTAATGTGTCTGCCCCTCAGTTTTACCAAGTCTTCTTATGTCATGCATGTTACTACATCCCGGTTCCATAGCACAGCCTTTCTTATGGCAGAGCTGGGAGACCCTATTTAGAAAAATTGCCAGTTACCCTCAACTTTGCCCATTTCTTGGAACGTGCATTTCAGCTGGCACTGTGTTGCCATAGTTTTTGAGCAAGAGCAGAAGGTGTTGGAGGGCATGAGCAGAGATCTTCCCTCCCTTGGCTCATGCCTTCTTTTCAGGTACTTTTGCACAGCCTGGATTGCAACAGCAGGTATCTCAACTCTTAGGGAGGGTGGATGCTGTTTTGTGCCATTTCAAGGCAGCATGCAAAGAGTATCAGATCAAGTGCACCATCCTTGCTTTGACTGCACTGTGGCTAAGGCCCTGGGTTGGGATTCAGCTCTGTTCCTCTCTAGTTCAGCCACAAGATGTAATGTTTGATTTTGGGCAAGTTGTTCAGTCTCTCCACACTTTCATCCCCATTTCTCCAGTGTCATTATAGTATCTGGTGTCTCCCTGTCTTTTAATGTATGTATCCTCACATAACCCTTGAGGCAGGGCAGAGCTATTATCTCCACTTACAGAGAAGGAAGCTGGAGGGCTAGCACAGGCCAAGGGAGCAGCAAACGATGCTCATCCCAGACAGCTGTGGCCATGTCCCAAACCAGTGTTTTGTGGGATTGGGTCCCCCCTCCCCACCATGCTTACAGATCAGTTTAACAACACTTGAATTTATTGTCTGGAAAGTACCTGTGAATTTTAAAGCCCGCCTAGGTAGGTGGTCCTGGGGCTGTTTATCCATGCTCCAGCTCGCCTCCCATCAGTACAGTACTTGTGTTGTTCTGCCTTTTGTTAACATAACAAAAATTGTGCCTCTTAGAGGAGTTGTTCATGTTAAACTACAGTCATTCTCAGTGAGTTTCAAGCAGGTTGCATATGGGGTGCATGATACCCTGTTGAGGTCTCTTTTCTGGCTGTCCAGATAAGCAGTATACAGAGGACAAGGGCACAGGAGTAACATTTGTGCAGACAGTTTAATACAGAAAGGCTGGATCAACTTACCTGTAATTTAATCAGTTTAATCTCATGCTGTTTTCCCCAAATTCTTGGTCATGTCTCTTCTTTTTTTTTTTTTTCTTCTTTTTAATTTTTTTTTTTTTCCAGGGCAAACTTGATGCACTGTGGGCTTTGGTTCGACGAGGCTATGATCAAGTCTCTCTTATGAGACCGCAGCCAGGGGATAAGGTAAGGTGTCACAAACATACTGGCATGTCACTTCTCTGTTAGCAGCAACAATGCTCTTCCCTCCCAACCACCCCATCTTTTTTTTTTTCTCTTTTATTTTTTTGCAAGCTTGTCTCTTTTCACATTACCCTAAGGCTAAAAATTTGTCACAAGAACGAGAGATTTCAAAATGAGCTAAAATGTTTGCTGTGGCATCTGTTTAAAAGTATTGCCCCAAAAGGTCAACAGCAATGTCTCCACTGTGATGATTTGAGCAGACTGAGGAAGAAGCTGGCCGGCCACAGTAGTATATGAGACCTTTTTCAGCCATATACATTCTTAGCCTTTTTTTTCTGGGTACATGTGTTGAAGTCAAAGGTTGGGTTCTTTGTGGGTTCTGAGAGACTGCTCATTTTGAATTTAACATGCAGTAGTTGTTCTACAACAGTAATTATCCTTCCTACTCCATAAAAATGCTTCTCAGATTTAATAATAGAGTTAAGTGATTAATGAGAGAAATCATGAAATGTGCAGGTGATGAAGAAACAAATTATAGCAAAGTTAATGGAGAATAAAGTTTCTGTAGGATTCTGCACAAAGACAACATTTCTTGGTCGACACATTTCTTGGTCATATCCTATATGTAGGCAGAGAGTATCTCCTGCCTTGATAAAGTCTATTGGCCAAACATAGGTCAGGAGTAGATTCCTCTTGGGAGGATACAGGGAGTTTATGCCTTTCAGAGCCCCAGAGATGTCTATGTGCTGCCCCATGGTCACTTGCAATAGCTTAGTTCAGAGCTCTTAAAATTTCCCCATGAGAGCCTGGCACCATTATGGTTGTCTCTATCTTGTTATTCTGGGGGGACAACTCCATAAGAATTGAGTGCTGCTGCTTTGGGCTGTTGCACCTCCAGATCTGGCTTTCTGCAGTGGCACTTTGAAACATGAGGGCTGAGCAGAGATGACAGCATCTTTCTCCCCTCTGTGGCCCTTCTCTGGCCAGAGTCCATACGTTTATATCACCTTTGTTCTCAGGGGAAGGTGTTGTAGAGTTACAGCAGTAGGGGCCATAAAGTGCTTTTCTGGGGTAGGAAAAGTGCAGAGGCCCTTGTGCTGGGCTTGTTTGCCTGGGTGACTTTCACACCTAATAACAGACTTTAAAAGTAGCCCTAATTTGCATAATCTAGGGCAAATAAGTTGCATCGCTCTGGCTTTTGGCAAAATACCATTATGGCATTTGTCTAGTTATTGACTAAACATACAGCTTCAGTATTTAAAGTTTAGTCTTTTCCATTTTTCTTTCAGTGCATAAGGAAACCAAGAGAACAAACTCAGCTTCCTATGCTACTTTGTAAAGTGGCCTTAACTGTTTCACTAAGCTGCATTTTCAAGGCAGCTGTGCTTGAGACACCTTATTTACTTTTTAAGCACGATCTAGAGCTTCTGAATAGGCTCTTTAGGCCCAGCTGTATTTTGATAGCACTAACATTGTATAATATGAATCTATCCACTCGGTTGGTACGTTTCTATGGGTGCAGAGCACAACAGAGCTCCTGTTAGCCTGCACGGTCAAGAAACAGGCAGGGGGCTGGCTCTGAACAGGGATCCTCAGTTCCTTGCCTTCCAGCTCTGCTTGCAGGGAGGATGAGGGGCTCAAAAGAGGCAATGTAAAACAGAGCGAGCTGAAGGATTATTGTATCGGGGAGAACATTAGAAAAATCAAACGTACATCTGGGAAATAGGGTGGAAAGAATCCTATTGAGCCAGATTCAGTGGAAGAATAGGATCATCTCTGTTCCCTGGCCTGTGAAATTAACTAAAGCTGAAGAATATTGAAGGCGAAACAAGAAAATGACTAGGCATCCTTCTGCTGTTTAAAAAAAAATAAAAATAAAAATAAAATAAAGGATATCACAGGCCTGTATTTCATGGAGAAAGCTAGCACAGAAAAGAACAAGGTTATTTATTGTTTGGTTGACTTTTCCAGTAGCAATCCCTCGGTGGAGAATTGGCTCCTGGTGAGTTAGGCTTTTGGTGGGGAGGAAGTGTATAAATATACATGTGTGTACATATAAGTATATATGAGCCTACACACACATGCACACACTTACTTTGTGGCTGAAGAATGGGGAGATCGAGCCAGTGCTAGGAGTGACTGGCAGCATGGAGACCCTGGAGCTCTGGCTGTGCAGAGCTGGAGGAGCCTGGCAGCCCCAGGAGCAAGCCCACAGCTCCAATCGACCCAGCCCAGGCAGGTTCAAGGTGACTCCTGTACAGGTGTGCTGGCAGCAGTAGCAGTCAATGGATTTTGGTTTACTGTTGGGTAGACATGAAAGTGCAGCCTGACATGCCTCAGTGCATGGTGTTCTTCCAGACTCTGCCATCCAGAGCCCAGTGACTGTGTGGTGGTCTTGGAGAGAGGCATTGCTTTGCTTTGTAGGGTTTTGAGGGATTGGGCGGGGGCAGGGGGAAGAGTTCTTTGGGTTTTTAAGTTTGCCTTTTTTTTCTTTGATTTTAAGGTAATTTCACAGCAGTCTTGGCTGTTCAGGAAAACTTAGAGTTCAGAAAGCGAAAGGAACGCAATTTAACTCTGTTTTGGGAATGGCATTTGGATTCATAACTCAGGAAATTCCTATCTTTGAATTACCCAGAATCAGTCAAATTGTTAACTTTACATTTTCAGGTATTACCAGAGATATAGGTTGTTTCCCACTGGAACAAGATAACTCACTGAAGTTACATTTTCCAAATTTCTGTTTCACAGTTTACCTCCATTGGGGGAAAAAAAAAGTTTTCATTTTCCATTTTTATTGCTTCACTTGGGCATACGTTCGCTTTTTGCAGCCATTGGGAGAAATTATAGCAAAACACTTTTTTCTGCATAATGAAAATAATAATTACAGAGAAGAGAACATCCACAGTACAGGGAGAAAAATATTTTTCACAAGGCTTTTGGGACAGGGGGAAGATGATAAAGGAGAATTTTTTGGCATTAAAACATTCTTTAAAAGCTCTTTTAAATTTAAAAGTACAATTTCTTTTATCATTTGAAAATAAGTACTGTGGTTTGGGAGCTTTTCTCCCCCAAAAATCTGAAAAATACTTGTAGAAAAACTCTTTGTGATAGTTTTGGTGGAAAACAAAATATGCTAATGTTTTTGGTATATTCACCAATGTATCTGGTTTTGTCACAGAGAAGCAAAAGTCTGTTAGACATTTTTCAGAGCTGTTCAGCATCTTCCTGCACAACACAGCCCTCTTTCTTGGCTCTGCAAACCATACAGTGAAGGCAGTATTGCTACCTCAGGTTTTCAGAGCCAAACTTCTCCCCCACTCCAATCACAAAGTGAAGTTAAAAATGGCACTGTTTGTATTTTTTTGAGTCTTCATGTGGTAAAGCCCATTCCAGAGTGCGTGTGAGAGCCTTGCAGTGGAAATTCAGGCTGAAGCATGTGTGCAGGAATACAGGGCTGACTGCTGCAAGGGACTTTGTTGTCCTTTGCTCTGGGTGGCCAGGGCTGCTGTCCATCCATCCTCATTTCTTCCTTCATCATGATCCTGTTGCCTTTCCCAAACCACCTGGTATTTTTCTTACCTGTGCTGTCCTTGGACTCCTCCCCTAGACATTCCCTTCCATTTCCTTTTGTGGCTTCTTCCTTTCCTTGTGCTCTCAGTCTGTGTTTCCCTGCGCCTCCCCTTTATGAGACAAACTGGTGCTCTGCAGTCCTGCCCTCTGGGAGCAACGGGCTGGTGACCAGCCTCCTTCCTCTGTTCCTCGCATGCTGCAGGAACTGAGCTGCTGGTAGCAGCATGCCCTGGGTTATGGCCTCGCTGCAGAGCTGGCTGAGGCTCCTGAGAGCTCCCTTGCCCTGGCTTATGCCTTCCATGGACTTATCAAGAAAAGGATCTCGGGATGGATGACCCACCAGTATTAGGCAGGATTGTATTAATAGGACTGGCTGTGAAAATCACAGGCACTTTTCGGAACTGCTTATTTAAAGAAAATCAGCCAAGCACAAGCTCTGATCCCCCTTCTCCTAGGAGCTGTGCCCACGGTGTTTGGCTTGGCTCTGCAGACAGCTCCTCGTCTTGGTCTCCGTTAAATGTCATGTCACAGCAGCACTGCTGAAATTGGTTATTAGTTTGCCAAGTACCTCAGTAAAGGGTCACAGGACCCCACTCACTTGACTTCTCCAGGTCACTGTTAGCAGGAGCTTCTCTTGCACCAGAATGGGACAGCAACGGATAAACACGCTTAGCTCTACCCCATCATTAGCAGATAGGCTGCTATTTGTGGGATGGCTTTTTGCTGAACTCTCAGCATCAGCAGAGGAACAAAGCGATGAAAAAGGGCTAGCGGCTCTGCTGCTGATTGCTGGGATTTTCTCCTCACAGTAATGTACAAAGGTGAAGCCTTCGTAGGCATTTGTGCTACTGCTGCAGTGATGGATCCCTTAGAGCTAGGCTGCCATTCTTCCCTTCCTTCCCTGGAAATTTGGGGCTTAGAGGACCAGCAGTCACTCTTCTGGCCCAAGAAAGGGGTTGACAGCTCTGAGGCAGGGACACTGCTCATCCAGCAACAAAGAGCATGTCAGAGTGGCCACATGGCCTGGTGAGCTATGTGTTGCTCAAGATATTCGGGCTGCCTTGAGGACTTACCCACTACTGTTGGTGTCCTCCTGAGCTTGGTTCTGAGCTTGCAGGGGGCTGCTATGAACATTAGAGTTTGGGAAATATTAATGTCTGGCTATCTTGAAGTATCTCATAGAAACCACAGTAGCTGGTGGGGCAGGTTGTCAGCAGTCTCTGCAAAAGGGAACTTTCAAGCTTTTCCCCCTGGCCTCATGGATCAAAAGTGGGGCTGTTACCAAGGCCAGCAAGTAAACATTAAAAGCCCCAATATGTGCAGAGGGGAAGGTGAGATGCTGCTTTCAAATGGTGTGCTTAGTTGCTGCTTTCAGCAAATCCATTCCTTTTTGCATTTCAGCACATACTGTCACAGGAAATTCTCAGAGGCTC